CCCCAAAACCCCAAAACCCCAAAACCCCAAAACCCCAAAACCCCTTCGAACCAGAAAAATTTTGATTCACTTTATTATAAAATTAAATATGATCTTTACTAATCCGATAGCCTTCCCTAGCCTTGATGCAGGAGATTATGACCAGAGGTACACCAACTTCAGGCAGGCTTCGCCTGCCAAAGAAGGGTGTACTAATGGGTTCTTCCAGAATGAGACTAAGCAAAGCAAAGTAAAGGAGAATTTAGAGAGCAGGTATCTAACTTGCAATAATGGTTCCCTCAACAAGGTGAACGCACCTGACTTAAATGAATGAATCGATTCCTTCTTTGGAAAACCAGCAGTGCATGAAAACATGCATGTGTTCAATGGACTTGAAGCAGATGAGAAGTTGTTCTGGGAAAAAGACGAAGAATCTTCTTTTAGATTCAATCAACATCAGCCAGTTAGAAAACTTCAAATTCCTGTTAAGAAGAGTTTAGATAGGAACGTAAAGATGCTTGAAACTAATATAGTCCCGAAGGATATGCTTCACTGTGAACCCAATAGAGCCTCTGAAGAATTTAATGCAGAAACAAGGGTCAATACTTTAACTTTAGAGACTAAGAAGCATTTCCATGAAAAGATGAACATCTTTGAAGATCTCATCCCATCCACTTTCTCTGAACTTCCTTCTCTTAATAATGTTGTTTCAATGACTATTAAAGAAGACTCTGGAGACCTCAAGGTTAGTACAAATTCCAAGTCAATGACTGAGAATAAAATACTGTCAAACTTCCTAACAATTGCTGACTCTTCTGATCTAAATGATCTATTGCAGTCAGTGAGAGATTTACAGACCGAGGTTAGCTCAACGATCTCAGAACTTTCGAAGGGTTGCTCCCTTCCGAAGTTATCTGTGAGCGGACTCGGTTACTAAATCTCCTATGTCAAGTCTATACTGCGTACATGCACTATATGTGTCCTATTTTACGCCATTACTCAATTACATTTATCTAAGCTGCATTCTTACTCCTTCATGATGACCTATTTTTCTTTGGAAGAGGTTCAATGAGAGGTCCTGTGATAGGGGTTTTGGGGTTTTGGGGTTTTGGGGG